AACTTCTTCGACCCATCATCCTCACCGGCCACACTGCTGCGCAACTCAGCAACCACAAAGGTGCCAGCCTCAAACAACAAACGTGCAAAGGCGGACAGCGAGCCCTCCGACGGGTCAGCACCCAAGTGCTTGGACTGAGCAGCCTTGAGACGAGCATCGTCGATGGCCCCAGGAGCACTGGCCACCGCGAAAAGCAGTGACGAGTACGTCTTAATGCCAGACGAAGCAAGACTGTCAACAACAGCTTGACTGAGACCATACTGCAAAGCACGGCTGCAAAAGGTCACCTCACTATCTGCGATGCTGGCCATGGCAGCAATGGGCAGGAAGTCAGAGCACCAGCTCGTAAAGGTGTCCTGCCACGAAGACCAAGCATCGCCGAAAACACAGTGTTCACTCCGAGGCTGCGACACAAGCCGGCCAGGAGAGGCACCAAGAGTACCTGCCGCAAGGCACCACGAACTGAGACACAAAGTGCACAGTCACGTGGGAGGGGTGGGCACCAGCCACACCACAGTCCTGAGAACATAAGGCAGCAGCAGCAGCACATCACAAACCAAGACCGAGGCCCAAGCCAGGGAAGAGAACCAGGACGCACCAGCGTACCTGGCACAAGCAGCTGAGAGCAGCCACGGTAACACATGTCAGCAGGCCACAGGCACCAGCCGAAGGTGGTAGAGAGGCCTGCCAGGTGCACAAGCACAGTTGGCTCCATTGAGCAACGGCCCCGCCTGGACACCAGTCGGAGCCAAGACCTGCGCTCAAGCGCCACATCAGAAAACAACAGGTTGCAAAGCATGGCCTCGCAAGAGACAGCCGAGCAGCCCATCGCAGAAAGAGCCACAAGGCCACAGCACAGGGTCTGTCACATGTTCAACAAGTGAGGGCAGCCACGGCAGACCAATGCAAAGGACAACCCTCAGTTTCCAGACAGAGCCCCAGAGAACCAGATCATTCATCTACACGGCACGCANNAGTACATGCCCATGCTGACGCAGATTTCGCGGCAACCTCTGCAACGGCCTGCGAAGCGGAGCAAAATGCTGGGGCAGAGGCAAGTCACTCAGAACGTCGATGCCATTGGCAAAGGGAAACTCCGCCGTGCCGTACATCTCGACGCGACACACAGCCGCCGCAGGGGGAGGCACCACAGCATCGGCAGCTCCTTGGTCAGGCTGGACAGGCGGAAGAACAGGGTTGTCAGCGCCAGGCACAGTAGCACCAGCACCGGCATCAGCACCGGTGTTCCCAAC